GGGGCGCCCTTCTCGTCGATTAGCCGTGCGCGAACGATTGCTTCATCGATAAGTCGTCGAACGACGTCATCATGCGCGTGAATACGACAACGCTGCGACTGACTGCCACCCCCCCCCCCCCCTCCCCCTGTCGCCCTTCGCGACCCTACACTCGAAATAGCCGCAGTTTTTTCGCGCGATCCAGCTATACGCGCAGGTAGAGCTAGCAGCGAAGGAAACGGAAATTGAGCTCGTAACAGTCGGCCAGTCGGCACTCGCGCAACACGAATGCTTAATAACTGGGTTATAACGGCGCCCGAAGGCCCCAAGGAGGTGAACCCTCCTCTGCATACATGTATATACACGTATACATGTACACCTGCACTTAACTTTTAGACAAAATGCAGTTTGCCAGCACAGTCCTACGATATTTCCACTCGCGAGTTCCGAAAGCGCTCTGCCGTGCAGCTGCCATGTGGCCCACGCCTGCCGACCCGTTGCGCCAACTTGCTCAGCGCGGTAATCGCCAGGCAATCTACCGCGAATTAATCGAGAAACAAGCCGGGCATGCCGCGCAGCGAGGCGCCGGACCAGCCAATGGACGACTCGTTCGTAAAAGGTTCGGGAGGCGCGCCGACGATCACTGATCCAAAGCCGGCCGTCGTCGCGACGCGACGTTCCCGTGGACGGGTGGCAAGCCGGCGGGCGGCGTCCCCTGTCGATCGGCGGGCGCCACCTCGCCTGCTCCGATTGCGCGCGCCAAAGTTATTTCCGGCTGGAATCGAATGGCGCGCACCGCCAGCCGATTGTCCTCCTCGGCGCCCACTCCGAACTTCCGTGTTTCTCTTTCCGACCCCTTCTCGATTAATTGTCCTTCCTCGTCTTCTCGCGCGGTCGCGCTCGTCGCTAAAACTCCCGTAAATTATTGCGCTAGGCACGTCCGATCGAGGCCGAGTTTATTTTATGGGATTCGCCTTGTGCAAAGTTTTCGGGGCTACGCGATCCCAGCCGCGCTGCACCGAGTTGTTCTCGAACTGACGTCAAAGAAAACAAGATTTGGGCGAATCAGGTAAATCCGACGATCGAGACCACGTTGAAATTGTTGGCGTGGCGTTGGGGGTGGAGGGTGTGCGGCTGCGCGGCTCGACAACTCTCGATGACTTTGCCCGGCCAGTTTGGCTCTCGAGGGCTGCATCGCGTCGATGAACGACAAGGAGGGTATCCCGCTATTGTATTTTTCAGAACGACGGCAGGGCACATCGCGGCGGCCATAATCTGCTGGCGCGGCATTGTTCGCGGGTTATCAGGGCCAGGATGCGTTGCGGGAAATGATGCTTCGTTTACGACTGCAGCCCTCTGCTGCACTGGCTTTTGTTGGGCGTTTAAGGGCGCGCAGCCGCGCCAATCGACGCGCGCGTCTAGCTATCAAAAATATCACACACCACAGGATTGGCAGCGAGTCTGCGGCAGGCGAAGAGATTATCCGTTCTCGCGGGCTCTCGGCCGTTGATCGGCTGCAAGCCTGCCGGACGCGAACAATCGTCGCTCGCGCCGAGTATACGATCGGCTTTCGCGTTCATTCGCGATTAGCCGCTCGAATTTCCGACAAGGAGAATCGGAGAGGCGGAGAAGACGCGCAGCCGTGATCCTTGGACCTGATTAGCTTTTGATGAAAAGCCCGCTGCCGGTGTTTCGCGCAAAGGGAGCCCCGGCTTTTCTCGTCGAGAGCTCGTTAAGGAGCGGAAAGCTTGCCGGCCTGGAAACAGTCCCGCTTCTTTCGCCCGCCTCGCAGTCGCCGATTCGCGGCGCTCTCTAATGGCGCCGCGGGCTCTCGCACGCGCGCTATTAATTAGCCTGTCTAGCCCTCGGCTCGCCTGCTGCTTACGCCCCCGAAGCGCGACAATAGGCGTCGGCCGCTGCGACTCGTGTGCGTGCCCCTCGTTGAGCGCGCGAACAGCCCAGCAACAACAAATACTAATGATCCGGGCCAAAGTACCAAGCTCCTCGTCAAACGGTTCGTCGAAAAGAAAAAAAGATATTGACTCAAGCTTTGCCGTCGCCAGAGCCGTCGCCGGTCCGGCATGTCAAAATACTCGACAACGAGGGGAAAAAGTCTCGTCTGCGAAAGCAATAACACGTGGACCGTGACGCGGCGCCTGTCCGCCAAAAAAAAAAAAAATAAATAAAATAAACACAAACATCAAAAAGTCCTCCTGTTATGGCGGAGCAAGTGAATTTTTTTTTTCAGCCCGCGCCCGACTCGCGCGCTGTTTACTTTATTTACGTCGCTCGCTCTGCTAAGGCACCTATCATCGCCGCGCGAGCGACGCCTCCGAGAGGCAAAAAGCTCGCGTGACGTAGTACAGTTGCCCGGAACAAAGGCCGGCGCGGAGCTATCGCGGGGAAGGACTCCGCCGTGGAACACGCCGCGGCGCCGCGGCCCTCGAACAATGGAGGTAATGAGGCAGATAACTAGCGTGGCCGACGAGGCGCGCGAGCCGCCTTTCATTATTTTCGCCGTTATCGCCGCTCGAACTGTGCGACCCTCCGCCGCCGAATCGGCCGATAATAAAACGAGCGAAACTTCGGGCATTATTGTTGACAGGATCGCGCTTGTGTACTGCCGCCGACCATTTCAGCGCGGCGCAATTAATGTGCCTCCGGAGTGGTGCGCCGGCGAGTCGAAAATTCGTCGGCGCAAACGAGAGTCGGCCAAATCCATGAGCCGCCGATCCAAGAGAAACCGTTTTTCCTTTTTTCCTTTTTTTTTCCCTATTTATTTTCTATTTTATAACAAAGTCCCGCGCGCTCGCTTGATTGCCAATATTTTAAAGCGTCGCGCAGCGCAACTGGCAGGTTGATTAACTATGGACAGTTCGCCTGCGCGTCAGCAATAACTTGGCAACGAAATTGCGTGAGAAGCGAGCCCGTGTTTTTTCACCTCGTCCCCGCTGCCCCGCGCCGCCTTTCTCGAGCCCCTTTTTCCGTGACTTTTGCAAACGGGAGATCTCGATGCGGCATTTAAGCGGACGACAGTTCGCATACGTAATGCACGACGGTCGCGGAGGGGGGGGGGGACTGCTGAATTGAATAAATGGAATATCAATAAGTGCGCGCGTGAGTGCCTGTAACTGTTTGCGGTGAACAGCCGGACTAACGATAATTGAACCGAAACGCAGACAAACTGCAGACTATCTTAATGAGTCCATCAATAGCTAATTAATTAAACTAGGCGCCGGCCTCAAATCGACAGAATTACAGCGGAGCAGCGCTTGATAAAGAATCGCTAGAAACAGTAGCGTTAATTAAAACTTCCCCGAAGTCATATTTTAGCCGTTAAATGATTAACCCAATTTGTTTTTTTCCGTGCCAGTTTTAGCAGCCCCACTCGCACTCGCGCGCGCGCACGCACACACACACACACCCGCATGGGCGACGAGTCCCCCTCTATTACAAATGTAACGAGTAAATAAAGCTAATTAGCCCGCGGACTTGGTTTCGCCGTACGCCATTTAATTTTTTCCTCGGATTCCAAGCTACATTTTCGCGGGGCGCGACCACCGAATTCGATAGACGCACACGTCGCGCGCGCCGGCGAGAGAAAGAGCGCGGCTTAATTAATCAAAACGTCCCCGCGCGCTCTTTCAAAACTGAGTAGCGCTCGTCAGTTTTCAATTAGAGCGCGCACACCGGCGCGTCTAGGCAAACAGACCCCACTCGGGCGCAGTACAAGTCCTTTGACATCGTGGCTGCGGGACGACGTATAATCTCGCCTCGACGCGTACACTTGATTGCGCGAGTCGATAAACGCGTATGACGAGCGAGAGGAGCGGAGGCCCGGAGCGCAGCGCTTAGTTCGAGTCCGCCAAAGAGCCAGCCCGAGCGCGGAACGAAGACGCGCGAATTCAATGAATACTCGCTGCTCGTCGTTCGTGCGAGTGAGCGGCCGGCGTCACGACTAAGCAGCTCCGTCGACTCGCGCGGACGCTCAAGATCCGCGGCTGGCACTGATCGTCGCCAAGAAGAACCGCTGCTTCTTCCAATTTACTCTGTGGAGTTGACGGGCAAGCTCGAAAAAACAGGATTCGCGGGAGTTGCCTCCACTGCCGGTGCTGCTGCTGCTGTTCTCAGTAAAATTATTCGGGCGAGAGAGAGAGAGAGAGAGAGAGAGAGAGAGAGAGAGAGAGAGAGAGAGAGAGAGAGAGAGAGAGCAAGACTAGTGCACTAATCCCCGGACGCTTGTAGTTCGCAGTTGGCGCTCAGTCGCGCTTGCATAACCCGAAACTTACTTGACCCGCTTTGCTCACTTTTGAGAAGTTATCGGAAACGCTAGCTACTGCTGCGCTCGGCAAGGCAGTCGTCCGAGCGGCGTTGGGGCCAAAGGAGGAAGGCGAAAAATAAGAGGGGAAAATAACGGGCGAGGGATCAATTAGCAGGATTTATGGGGCGGTATTTCTCTCTCTCTCTCTCTCTCTCTCTCTCTCACTCGATTTTTTCTCAGCCGCCAATGACGAATGGCGCGTGCGCGCGACCGAACAGACGACAGAGGCTCGGCCGCTGGCTAATCCCGCGGAAAAAGATAGCCAGCCCGAGAGAGCCCCTATACCTTCTGTACATCTCTCGCGAACGAACGAAATAGGAAATTGATCCGGGGCGCGCTCCTGCCTCTGCCGCCCCCGCCGCTTTCGTTCCGCGCGGCTGTCAGCGGCAGCGCGTCCTTCCGCTAGTCAGCTGCTCGCCCGGGATCTCGCCCCGGAAGATGCTTTTTCGGCGGATTAGCCGGGCATAAATCAGCTGCGCCACAGACCAAGTCGCGCGAGACGTACGGCCACTCTGCCGTAGGCGCGGCAACGCTCTTCCGCGGAGGAAGGAGCCGCGAGGCGCCCGACCATTGTCTCCGAAACACTCGAGGCGACTCGTCAACTCGTCCGCGCGAAGTATCGTCGTATTGGCGAGCTCAGCCGGCGCGCGCAAGTTGGGCGCTCCGCTCGACGAGGACGCATAGATCAGACCGTACCAACCTGTGCGTGAGCCGTTACTGCTGCTGCTGCTGCTGTTGCTGCTGTTGCTGCTGTTGCTGCTGGGCTAGACATCCTGGACTGCATCTGCAACATTCAGAGGAAAGGGCCCGCATTAAACATTAATTCGCTCGGTAGCTCTCTCATTGTACTTGCTAATCCGGCGTGCGCTCGGGTTTATGCCGCTCTCCGAGCAGCAGCGAACAACGAATGCGCCTGGCAGCGCCTTAGATCACGCGCGCGCGCGTAATTACAACGTTTCCGGATCAGAAATCGGGCTCGCTGCTTGCCGCCTGGATTTTACAAACAATTGGCCCGAAATTCCGATGATAAACTGTCCGCCTCGCGGCATATCGCAAATAGCGCGCGAATCATTCAATGCAACAATTCATTTCTCCCCGGCGGCCCGGCGGCCCGATGGCCTGCAGCTGACAAATCCGCTGGGACGCGCTCGCCGCACTAAAATACCGGCGGCCGCACCGCTCCCGATTGAAATCCGCCGAAATAAAGAGCCGAAAACTGAAAACTAAAAACAAAAGTGAAAGAGAAATGGCTCGTAAATATCGCGGGGCATTTGTCAGGACACGCCAGGGCAGAGCAGACGAGGTGCTTATTCTGGACTGGCGCTCGGGCGTAAATATCAATGTGAATTAAGGCGCGCAGCCGCGCGCGCGCCAGCGCCGCTGCCGTCTCATCGCGAGCCGCGTTCGGAGCCACTAGACGGGACGCGCGCCGGTGCTTTTCCCAATTGTCGGGGGCCAGGCACTCGGAAACCGTAAATTACGCTTGGCCGCCGCGGAGCTTAACGAGGGGCCCACTGGGACCGGCGCAGCTGCGCCTCGCGACAGCAGCAGCAGCCAGTCGCCGGAACGTACGGACGGCGATCCGAAGCCCTCGACTTTCCGATTGTCATCGAGGAGCCGCGCGAGCGCCGACAACGAGCCCGCCACCGACGCAATCAGCGAGGCGCCGCGAGCCCGCAATCAAACGCGCTATTGTCGCGACACCGTGGAAAAGGCGCGGGACTCGCGGCAACGGCGGGCTGCGCGCGTGCGTCGAATGCCCGCGCGCATTGTACCTGGATCGAGAGGGCGAGCAGCGCGAGGGTGCAGGCAGGTGCGCGAGCGCGAAAACCGGCCGAGCTCTTATCGCGTCGACGATCCGTCCTGAAGGATTCGTTGCACCTGCGCCGCTCGTTCGACACCGTTGAGCCTGCGGACGCTAGCCCGTTCTCTCGCTCTCCCGACATCTGCCAAAAATGGCCGGGCATTTTCGCGCGGGCGCACTCGAGCTCTGCCGCGAGTTGGCAAACGTTCGCGCGATGTGCTGCACCGACGTCACCAGCGGGAATATCAATGGGCGCCGCGCACGCAGTTATGCGTCCGCCGACTATGCCATTGGAATCGAAAGCGGAAGCTCGTAAAGACGAAGACGGCGGCGGCAATCGAGCGGTTGCGCGCCAATTGTAATTAAGCTCCGCTCTCGGGTATCTTCGAGTCGGCGCGCGTTTCAGTCCCAACATCCGCGGCATTTCGCGATTAGAACGAGCGTAGACTCGGGCGACCTCCGCTCGGGACTTGCATCCGCGGCCGGTAGAGTGCGCTCGACTCGCCGGCGCAGCTTGGAATTGGAAATTGGCACGAGGCAAAAGTGTCGAGGGGGGAGGCGGGACGGAAGGGGCCGCACCGACGACAAGTGCAATTTCGCGGCGATAACGCGGGCGTTAAGTCGAATCGGCGAGGGGCGAGCGCGAGCCGATACCGTCAGCCCCGAGCAATTACGCTTGGCAAAGGATGCGGGCCGTCGGAGCGCCGAGTGAGATAAAGAGCGCGCCACCCCGGCCGAGCTCCTTGGAAATCACGATGGAGAGGCGCGAGCCCGCGGGCGCGTCGACTCTTGGCCTCGTCCCCGGGGAGCGCGCCGTGGGCTCGACAGTTGCACTGCCGCTGCACCGATGCTCGCTTGTTGCTCGAGCCTCTGGGCCGGTGACGACTCGGCCGAGCAGGTCTCTTACGCGCGCTCAGCCCTCGAGCGTCCACAGCCGCAATCTCGCCTTTTGATCCGCGAGCGCGACAATGGCCGAGGGAGTCGCGCGTCGACGCGAAGGGCCCGTGGGATCCCTCTTTTGCCCACCTCGCGGCCGAGCCGCTGTACCGCTCTGTCCGCCGTAGCCTCGGCGGTGTACACCGCACTCGCGAGCGGCACGAGCGGCACGAGCGCCGGGACAGCGCTAGCCGACTGCTGTCGGAACTCGACTGGGCGATCCGACTGCCGAGACGGAGGCTCGCGTATTTCGCGAACGACGGCTCGCTCCAATTTTTCCACGGGTTTCACGGAACATCCCTGGCATTCGCCTTATTCTCGACGCGTGTGCCGAGGACCGCGCTGTCCATCTGCTCCCCCCCCCCCCCCCCCCCCCAACCCGTACTCTGCTCGTATTGAGCGACTCGCGGTGAACGAAACTTGCGGGTTTGCATACTGCGATAGAGCGGCAATGCTGCGCGAGAGCCTGTTTCACGCAGCAGGAGAGAGAATCGCATTCCATCTCGGACACGTGCTCGTCGAGCGGCGGAGGACGGCTCGCTCGTGCATTTATTTTTCGATATGCGAGCGCATTGAGGCGCGCGTGTGCGCGGTCGAGTCGAGTCATTCGACAAATGAACGGCGCCCGGAACAGCTCGCGCCAACAATTTCTCAGGTCTAATGCGCTTTCCGTGTCGAGAGAAAGTTCCAAGGATCTCGCGGCTGTAATTATTCAGCGGCCGGCTCCTTAATGACCGCCGATAAATCGGGCCCCTTATCTATAAAAGCGCGCCTGCATTTCCCCCTCTTTATTTTCCGCGAGATTTTCAGCTGGCCGGGCGCGTGAATTCTCTAAGGTTGAATAAATTTAACAGCGGCGCGGCCGATATAGAGGCCAGTTTGTTGCGGACGCGCTCTCCCTGACCCATAAAAAAGTGAGAGAGAGAAGAAATCGATTTCGCATCAACGTAAATTATCATCAAACGGCGCTGCGCGAACGGCCATTCGTTCTCGCGAGCGCGCTTGCGTCGCACTCCCGGAGCTCGCGCTCCCGGCCAACTTTCAATCCGCCTGCAAGTCATAGCTGGAGAGAAACAAAGGCTCGCGGGTCTCTTTGGCCGCGCCGCGCCACGCTCTACCTCCTTGTTCGAAAGCAACGACCGACACGGCGCGCACCGTGCGTCGCGATAATCGAGTCCGATGGACGAAGCGCAGCCTATAAATCAGCCAGCTCGCGGAGAACAAATTGAAAAAGCGCGTCCGAAAAAAACGTGCGCTAACACGCGAAAATTGCTTTCTCGAGGGATGTGCCTCGCCCAAGGCCGCGCACTACAAATCAGAGTTGTGGCAACGCACGCTTCGCGATCTCGTCATCGACTGTAACTCACGACGACGAGCTCGATCGAGCAGCGCGAAGTCCAAGTGGCGAGAACAACAAGTCGTCTAGCAAACGAGGCGCGAAGCTCGACGAAAGCCGGGGCAAAAGTTGACGGCTCGCGGGAGCTGGCGAGCGAATTAGCCTGCGTTGCAGTTGGCAGACTCGAGGCGGCCGAATTTCGCAAGTTTAAAGTTTCGCGAGTGCGCCTCAAAAGCCCGAGGACTGGCTGGGATCGTGCAGAGCGCGCAGCCGCTCGGAGCGTCTCGCGGGGGCGCTGCGCTCGGCTCGATCGTCTCTTCGGCTCCGGCGCGTAATGAGAGCACGTGCGCGTACGCCCAGATAACGCAGCAGCTCCCCGGCTGACTTTCGATGTTTATCGGCGCGGTGCACGAGGAAACGGCGCCGGCTTAATTGAACTATGGTCCTAATGGAGGGGGAGCCGCTGCTGACCTAGCCTACTCGCAGCCGATAAGCGCCACTCGAATCTCCAGAATTTCAATTAATTTTTGCCGCTGAGCAGCGATTCATCACCGGATCGGGCTCGCGCCGAAGAAAAGCGCAGTATCAGCCCAACCCCGCGGCATCTCTCTTAGCGGGCGCACGTTCGCGTTGCCAGACTCTTCCCCCATCCGCTACAAGCTCCCATCGTCCCACGGCCAGTTTTTCCCTCGGATCGACACCGGCGCCGCAGTCGTCGAGCTCGTTAGGCCGCCTCTCGGCCGACCGCGCGGAAAAACATCGGCGACCGGCGGTGCTCCGCAAACATCGACGCGGCCGCGGCCAATTTCCGCGAGCTCGTTGCGCGCGATCTCGTCAATTCGGGCCCCACGGAATTCCTCGATGGCATAGCTCGCTGGTTCGCTGGTGCGTCCCGTCTAATTTTTGCGTCGACGCAATATGCGCCGGAACTCCGTTTACCGCCGGATGCCAGCGATCGAAGCCGTCATTGCCTCGCACCCCCCCCCCCCCCCGACCTCACCCCACCTCACGGCGCGCCCACGTACGTTCGCTCTGCTCGAGAATCCAACGCACGCCGCCGCGCGCTCGTTACTCGCGGGAGTAACGCCGCGACTGCCGGTGATATTGCGCGCGCGGCCGGAATGAAGCTCGATATTCGAGATGCACCGGTGCGGCTGGCTCCTATTCTCGACGGCGGGGGAGCGGGCAGACGAGCCGGCCTGCTCGCAGCAGGCACCGCGACGTGGCAAGCGAAAAGAATGTGTCCGCGAGCGGCGCGAACGACGCGGCTGTGAGGTCTTAGACGCCGCTGTTGTCTCACGGAAGTGCGTCACTCCCATGGCGGCGCGCCGCGCGCTATGCAAATCTATTTCGAAAGGGCGTGACCCTTCCTTCCTTCCTTCGTACCCTTCGCTTCGCCTTCGCATTGAAGCTGAATTATCGATGGAGCTGGGAAATACGGGGCAAACACCTTATTCGCTGCTGGCAAGCTGCTGTCGCGGTACAACGCTGGCGCCTCTATCGGACCGCTGATTCCAGCACGGACGAACGATCGTTTCGTTCGCGGTTGGATGACGCGCAGGAGCCGCGAGAACAACCAGCCAAGAGCGATCGACAACGGACGCAAGGAGGAGGAGCTGCGAGTAGAATCGCTGGAGGAGTTGTCGTCGAACGGAATCTTGAAGTTATTTACATCGGGTTTGCCGCAAGGGAAGATCGAGGCTCGAGC